CAATTAAAAAAATTAAAAAAAATAAAATAAAATCTTAAGTGAAGCATGAGTTCTGTCTTTAATAGTAGCATTACATTTTTAAATCATCACATTTGTATAGCATAAAAATCATTATAGTTACTTATACACAATTACTGAACTAAGTCTTTGAACTAAGATTTTTAAAACCCTAGGCTTAATTCATGACTATCAGCTAACATGAGTGAAGAGTATAAAGTTTCTATCAAACAATTCTCTATAGCCATATCTAAAATGTTCTTACTCTACTCAAAATATTTTAAATCTTTAGTTCTTTTTATTTATTAAGGATTCAAGTTATATAAACAATTTATAAAAAAATATGAGTCTAAAAGCATGATTCACGCTCCTGAAATCCCACTGAAGTTCATGTCAATTTTATATATTACTATAAAGGATATTACTCATAAGAATTAAATTTTTCTCAAACCATTATTATTTTACATATCACTTTAAGTAACATTTTGAGAAGTCTACACATTAAATTATCAAATGTTTTGACTAAAATAGATAACTGAATAAAATAAGTATCAGAATTTTACAAAAATGTTTAATCATTTTTTCTATTTTTTTGTTTTTCATTTTTTCAATATTTGTATGGAGAACAAAACTGAAACAAATAAATTAGTTTTTGTACTTAAAGATTTACAAAAGTAACAGTTTAACCTTGGTTTTCATTTCTTTGATTCTAAGACTGCTTTTGACATTAAGAAATATAAAAGAACTAAAGCATTAGTTTAAAAAAAATAAAAAATAAAAAAGCAGTTTATATTTTAATGTAATGCACATGACTGTAGAGAGTTTAAAACCTGAAATGACCTAATTTTACTGATGAATTCAAACATTAACTCTTTATTTTGTTACAGTGGTGTCTATGAGAAGTTTAAAAAGCAAAAGCAGAACTGGCAAAGACATAGTGACACAACCGAGGCAGTGTCCTTGGTGTTAGCCATCGAATTTGCTAATGACACTGGGAGCTGTGGGCTGACTCCACCCCTAAGCTAAAGCATACTTCCTGCACCACCTTT